GTGCATGGCTTTCTGCAGTGCTCACTCTGTGCCTAGCAGTTTGTTGAGCCATTCACTTCAGTGTCTGGGGCTTCATTTGCAGCATAAGGAGGGGAAAGCTTCTAAGCTGTTCAGCCTCCGAGGAGCCTGACAGCAAAAGGTGCTCCCCCAGGTCTGTGGTAGGCCCTCAGCTGCTAACCCGTAAGGGTAGAACCATTTGGGGAACCTGGAAGCTGTGTGTGTAACCCGTGTTCCTTGCTGCAGGTGATGAAGATGGTGATGACACTAACAGCAGGGGAATCGGGCTGCATCCATTATGTCAAACGCCCTGGAGCAGTGCTGGATCCAGGCTGTGTCATTGCCAAGCTCCAGCTGGATGATCCCAGCAAAAAAAGTAGGAAGTTGCAGGAAGGTTAGATTTCGGTTGTGTTTTTACTTGGATAGTGATGCTGAGAGTCAAACAAGACAATCCAAATTGTTGAACCAATTTCTGATTTGTGCCTCATGCTGGAGTGGTCGCTTTTATCATGCTCTGTCTGTTTTTCTTCTAGTAAAATACATGTTTCTCCTTCTGTGTCTCTCACTCACTCACTCGCTTGCATATCCTACCCTGAATTCCTTCAGGTTAAATCTGTGTCTCTGTTCAAAAGTGAAAACTAGAGGAAAGAGGTGGGATTCTCCCTGCTGGTGCCATGTAGGAGGGTTGGTGGCACTTACTGTGGTGTTTGTATTTCCAGGCTGAGCTGCACACAGGGACCTTGCCACAGATCCAGAGCACAGCACTTCGAGGCGAGAAACTCCATCGTGTTTTCCATTATGTCCTAGATAACCTGGTCAATGTGATGAATGGATTCTGCCTGCCAGAGCCCTACTTCAGCAGCAAGGTACTGCCTGCTTACTGTTTCAGAGAGAAAGCAAATGTTCGTCCTGTACAAGATAAGGTCAACCACTCTGCATGTCAAAAGCAGAGGTCCAGGAATCGGTGCTGGAGGCTACGCTGCCCTGCCAGTGCCAGCTGGCCTCCCTTTTCTTTCTCAGATTTCCTCCTAGCCACTTTCACCATGGAGGAAAATTGGGGAGTTCCACCTGTAACACCCAAAACAAAGTCAAAGACAAGGAGTTGAATCCAGTCTTTACTGCTTGTGCTTGCAGCTCTGTAGGTGTGAGCTGCCTCCATAGCTAGCTATGGGAGAAGTCCTGCAGCAAGCGGGAAAGAATGTGGATGACTGAGCCCGTTGTTGGTGAAGGGTGAAACAGCCGTGTTGGTGTTCACCACAACCCTCTCCTGTTCTCCGGACTAGCTGCATGAGCAACAGCATTAGAGAAGGCTTCACTGAACTGCCCTTCTTTCCTCTTCTTGCTACTTATTTTTAACTCCTTCTGGTCTTGACACCATTTGGTCTTTAGGTGAAAGCCTGGGTTGAGCGACTCATGAAGACACTGAGAGATCCATCTTTGCCTCTTCTGGAACTTCAGGATATCATGACCAGTGTTTCTGGGCGAATACCGCCCAACGTGGAGAAGTCCATCAAGAAGGAGATGGCCCAGTACGCCAGCAACATCACATCGGTCCTTTGCCAATTTCCCAGCCAACAGGTGATCAACCACTCTTGCATAGAGGCAGAAAAATTGGATTGTGTTGAGGCAGAAAGGAACTTAAATCTTCTTATCTGGAGATTAGTTGAACCTGGAAGGTGTATTCCAACCCTCCATCTTCACAATGAAAGATGCTTGAGTTTAAATATTTACCCTCTGTATTGGTGGTGAAAGGTGTGTCCGCTGTGCAGTATAGTTTTAAACAAGCTAGCTTGGGAATTAGAAGCAGTTTAATCATAGCCTTGTAGTGCCTTGTGGACGTTGTTTACTTGCCTTAGTTGGTGCATGTGCTGCAGTGTTATTTGGCAAGCCAACATAACCTTAAAAAAGAGTGGTTGCTACAAAGGGAGAGCCAGCCAGGTTCCAAGATTGTGTTAGGTGTTCTCTAATTCAATGGAGCCTTTCTGAATAGAAAGGAAGAATGAGTGATTGGGAAGAGACCTGTCATCCCTGTTGTTGCAGGCTGTGAAGAACCACTCCTTCCTTCCCTTAGCATTATTTCCAGATCAGTTCCAGCATTTTGCATGTGCTGACAGCGATAAGATGTTAAAAGATCATTTCCTTAGTATATGGTATGGGACATCATCTTCTGTCTCATTGTCAGGTGCCTTCCTTACCAGTTTGGGACTTAGTCTTTGTGTTTGCTGGAACTCTGCTCTAGTCTGCCTGGAAGGCCTCATCCGTGTGTGTGTTTGGCAAGATCTTCCCGGGCAGGATGGGAACTGCCACTGACTGGTCTCTTTCAGATTGCCAATATCCTGGATAGCCACGCGGCCACCTTGAACCGCAAATCGGAGCGAGAGGTCTTCTTCATGAACACCCAGAGCATCGTGCAGCTTGTGCAGAGGTGAGCAGTTTTCAGGGGGTTCCGTAGTTTATCCTATTTTTGGTCTTTTTTTTTTTCCCCTCTGTTTGAAAGCTCCAAGGCTACTTGCTTTGAGTCCATGAGTTTTGTCAGTTTTGTCACATTGTCACACTGAGTCTCTAAATCACTGGGAATAAACCTGCATACTTCCTTCAGGGAAGCCAGCAGTGAAGGGGAGCCACACATATGTGGCTTATGGAATTGTGTGTCCTCATCGCATGTATGAAGCTCAGGTTCAGATCCTTCTTCTTTTTCCCCTTTGTCTCACAAAACGCAGTTTTAAGCTCTGCCCTGATACTGATCCTATCTTGGGCATTTTGTTAGGCAGCTGGTGTATGTCACCCCTTTCTGCTTTAGAGTTTTTAATATTTTAGGAAGGACAAGAATGTTTTGCTGCAAAACGTTTGCCATGCAGACCCACGTTAGTAATGGCAGAGGTTGTATGCTGGCTGCAGGGGTGTTCAGCGATTTCGGAATTTAGTGTCCTTGTGTCCATAGGCAAGGGACTCGTCCCACCGCTCTGGGTGTCACTCACTTGCAGGTGTTCAGAAGCAGTGACAGTCGCACTCAGTGCTAGATTTGACTTATTTGCTTCTGCAGGTACCGGAGTGGTATTCGGGGCCACATGAAAGCGGTGGTGATGGATCTGCTCCGCCAGTATCTAAAAGTGGAGACTCAGTTTCAGCATGGTGAGTCACAAAGTACATCGAGTATAAAATTGCTGAAAGAACCGCACTTGATGCCGAAGGTCCACATGAACCCCATTCACACAAGATTTGACCACTTTTAAAAATAGTAACAACAACAACAACAAAATCACTGAATCAATTGCAGCTGCTGTAAAATGCCCGGAAACTTTTCAGTATTCATAAAAACAAGCCTCCGACCTCATCCCGAAAGTAAGAATGGAAATAAATGCATTGCACTGCTGTGTGCAGGCACAAGATGGCAATGAATCACTAGCTAATTCTGAGACTTTAATTCATACAGGTAATTTGGATTTTGCTCTGCTATTCTATCCTTCTGCCTCCGCGCATGCACCAGCCTAACAGAACTGCAGGTTCATTTCCACTTCAGCTTGATGGTGGCAGAGGGTGGTGCAGGTCTCTCTGCTCCTGTGTTATCTGCTTGTTATTGGAATGAAAGGGACCCTGCTCACTGCTCCCCTTTCTGTGTCCTTAACAGGAGCTGTTTGGCATTGGAACTGTTAAAAGAAAATAACAGGAGGATTCTTAAAATTTGTGTGGGGAGGGGATCGCAAGGGGAAATGCTTCTATCGCAGAATTGATTATGTGACTCGTGCAGAGTAGATTGTCAACAAATGTGTGTTAGTTTAAAAAAAACAAAAAACAGGCACATCCAATCACAGGCGTTGCATGACACATGGATATAGAGTTTACCAAAAAGTGTGTTTCTGTTTGCAGGTCACTATGACAAGTGTGTCTTTGCCCTTCGGGAGGAAAATAAAAGCGACATGAATGCTGTTCTGAACTACATCTTTTCACATGCTCAGGTCACCAAGAAGAACCTGCTCGTTACAATGCTCATTGTAAGTTGCCTCTTGGTACTCTAGAAATTTGCTTCTCTGCGTAGATCTGTGATTGATGCTTTGAAAAGCACCAAATTGAAAGCTTTTACCCCTAGAGCTACAGAGGCAGCAGCATGGAGCTTCTTCATGCTTTCTTACTCGACACCCAAGGGCTGGGTTAGGGGGTCCCAGCCCATACTGCTCCGCTCGGTCTCTGTGCACCTTCTGCTTGGTGGCTGCCCTGCACTGATTGCCTCTTGGATGCCGTGCACGCTAATTATGCAAGTGATTTGTGAACATCTGTGGGGAAATGAGAATGCTGACATAACCCTGACATTGGGAGGGTGCTAAAGGCCGACTTCTAGACCCCGGACTGTGCCTTTATGCTGGTTTTATTTTGCTGTGTAGGCAAAGGGGGCTGCAGAGAGGTCCTCTCTTTACGGTATCTCATGCTACTCAAACAGGAGTTGCTTTGTTGGGAGGTAAAATTGTGCTACCAGCACAAAGGGAAAAAAAAAGTTTTTTTTTTTTTTGTGGTAGCCCATGTGGAGCCCCTGAGGGGTTTAGCTGCTCCTCCTTGCTGAGCCTGGCCTGGTCCCGCAGGCTCCGCAGATGCTCCCGTCCCTTCTCCGGGCTGCACAGGGGTCTGCAGGGCTCGGGCTCTCGGTGTCCCTCTGGGGCAGGCTCCACAGGGGGTCTCTGCGACCGGGTTCCTCTGGCTCCGTTCTGGATTCTGCCACACAAACGCAAGGCCATCCTGCTGCCAGGACCTGCCATCCACCCCGCTACCATTTTGTGTTTTTTCTGGTCTGGTTGGTCTCTGTGCACAATTTCAATTTTCACTCACTTCAGACCCTCTGCAGTACCTAAACACCACACTGATTTGCATTTCCACCATTTTTCCTGCTTCTTAAATGATTTTAAAAAATGAAAAGCTTCAGAAAATCTGTCTCACATAACACTTTGAAGCAGATTGAGTGCCCACCTTCCTTGAGGCAGGAAGCATTTAGACACCGTGTGATTTCCAGCTTGGATTGCAGTTAGGTGTCCCGCTTTTCAGGAAGCAAATTGCAGTGCTACCTTTCCCTCTCTCTCTCTTTTTTTCTCTTTACAAAATATAATGTGCTCCGTTACCAAAAATCAGTGCAAAGTAGCCATCCACAAGATAACCCTTAAAAGCATAAAAAGGGTCATAATTACCCTAGGCTGAGGCCGACTTTCTTAAATTCTGATTTGTAGGATACAGGGACCCTGGCATTCTTTCCTTCTGGCTCACTATTTTTTTTTCCTTTTTCCTTCTTTTTCCTTTTCAGTCTGTGGTGTGATTGTAAGTAACGCTTGCCTTAAGAATCTCATTATTTGAACACGGAGCCATATTTCCTCTGAGAATTCTGGAGTAGCTTTGAGCCGGGGCTGTTCATTTCTCAAGTAATCATGCTGGCGTGATGGAGAGAGAAAATGGCAGCTGTTCGCAGCTCAGGCCTTCAATTTTCTTCAGAGTCCAGTCACTCAAGTGTGTAATTACACGGGGGTGCTGGGGAGGCGTTAGGCCTTGTCAAAGAGCTGGTTTGAGGCTTTGCTCGCTGCCTTTGCCAATCAGCGCAGGCGAAAGCCAGCGCGGCGCCGGCTCCCTGCTTTATTTTGTTGTTGTCATCCTGATTATTTCTTGCTAAGACAGGACTGAAACTTTTTGTGTCTTTTTTCCACCTGCCTGTGCACGCCGTGCTGTCGCGGTAGAGCCCTGCTGCGTCTCCACGGCGCCAGCAAAAAGCCTGTCTGGAGAGCGGGGGGCCTGCTGGGAGGCAGGAAAAACAACCACCAAAAAAGAAGATCTTTCCTTCTCTTCCCCCTTTTCTCCGTGCCCTTTCTTTCCTCCCCGCTGCCCCCAGGTCACCTCCAGTGCAGACCAGCCCGTTTCGTTGGTACTGGAAGTGCCCTGGCGAGGGCTGTGTCCTTGGCAGGACAGGGCTCTGAGCGTGGCTTTAGCAACAGGGAATGCCAGCATTCATCTTGTTACCCCGTGGCATTTAGGAGAGGATGGAGCTGCTTCATCCTTCGTGTGTTTGCTGAAACGTAGCGTGGTTTGCAGTTGTATATTCATTTTACCTAGCTGTCTGGCTGTTGTATGCACAGCCTAACCTCAGGTGGGCAGAATCTCCTGTGTTTAATGGCATGGCAGGTGTCCCATGTGCCCGTGGGTCTTTTCTTACCTTGTAATATCACAGCACCTACAAACTGGTATTTCATGTACAGTGCGGGCAGTTCCTGAGGTATTCGCTGTTACGGAATTCACGTGCTTGTCTGGAATGGGTAGGTTTATAGGACTTCTTCTGGAAGAAGCCATTGCAACGTTTGCCTGGCCCAAGCCTGCTAGACAGGAAGCAACAGCCGCGCGCCGGTAGCCTGGGGCGGGCTGTGTTCTGGTTGTGGTGATCGGTAGCCTGGGGCGGGCTGTGTTCTGGTTGTGGTGATCGGATTTCGGGCGGCGGATGGCACCGTTCCTGGAGGTGACACGGCGCCCGGGGGGGCAGCAGGAAAGGGGACCAAAC